AGTAGTAGTTGACAGCAGCGGGATTGTTGTGTCCCCCGTTGTGGTGAAAGGCCTGCGAACCCAAGTAGAACAGGTCAGTGATCTGACAGCGCACCTGTAGCTGGAAGTCCGGGTCCTCGAAGTACGACCGGTCATACGGTATGCGCCGTAAATGGTTGTGTCCGGTGTTGTCGTCTTCGCCGATCGTCAACCGGTTGTTGACGTGATTCCAGACCCGACGCACCGCTTGTATGCGTAGCCGATGTAAACCCGGCTCTTGCAACTGACCCGCCATTTTGTATTGTCTTTGTTTGTCGTGTCTTTGATGTGGATCTGATCCCAATGTCTTTGTGTCTTACGATCAGTTGATTGTCTTGTGTTGTGCTCTGAATGCGAAACCAGTTTTTGAGTTTTGTTTGTTTTTAGTGTTAAATTTTTATTAATTGTTGAAATGATGTTTTGTTGGAAATTATGTTTAATATTTGATTTTTGATATAATTTATATGGATTTGATATTTATGTAACATATTTTTGTTCAACAATACGTTTACTTTTAGATAAATAATATTAAATACAAAAATTCAATCAATTATTCTTGTATTTAATGTGAGATATGATGAGTGAAATCAAGTGGTGATTGTTTTTCACCACATTTTTAAACATTGATTTACTTTCCAAATATTAAATTTTCCTTTTAATCATATGAAAACTTTTATTTATTATGTAATTATTGTAATTTCATTTTCTAATACTATTCATTATTTTATTCAATGATTTAAATCAATTAATTAATTAATTCTCTGTTTTTATTAGAAATATTTATAAAGTTATTATTATTTGTAATTTTAGTCTGTTTTAAATAAAAAGTAAAATCGCATTAAATGTTTCATCAGTTTGTAAGCAATACTAATATTATTGTGTAATAGTATTCATAAAATACTTTAGCTTAATCATTGATTTTAATTTCAATTATAAAATCAAATTATAAAATCATGACATTTTTCACAAGTTTCAAATTTTAATAATTTTGGCCGTAATTTATAACTTATAATGCATTCAAAAACGGCAATTGTGGCGATAATGAGAGTGAGATGTTTCCGGGAATTCCCGATTGATTTAACGAATGTAAATAACTTCGGGATTAATATTGCCATCAATTTGTGTATAAATTATAATATTAGTTACAAAAGTCACGTAAATTTAAGAATTTTATGAAATGTTTGTTTCTAAAGATTTAAATGAAAATATTCCCGAATTTGTGGTAAATATTCCCTTAAAATCACAGCAATAATAAGCTCTGTTTGTGACAACACGTGACCCACACTTGACTTTGTGCTGACCTTCACTTGTAGTGAAAGTTTCAGACATTAAACCATCAGTTCATCGATTGATCCACACTTTAGTCACTCATTCAGCCATCGCTTCCAATACAAGACATTGTCTCTCAATTGCATTCAATTAGTGGTAAGTCTTTGTGAAACTCAATACAAATTCATTCAGTATTTTAAAAGTTGTCATCAAATCTATGGTCAGAAATGTCGACAAAACTGTCAAAACCGTTATCACCGGGAGATGTGATCACTCAAGACATGCCTATCATTCATGTCCTTTTCAATAAATCCAAAGACAAATATTGTGACAATTGTTTCAAACAATCGGATCAATTGAAGAGATGCGCGAAATGTCTTGAAATGCATTATTGCGGTAAAGAGTGTCAGAAGAATGACTGGAAGTATCACAAGAATGAGTGTCCACTCCTTCGGCAGGAAATACCAGAACTGCTTCTTTCCAATGATTACCTCAGATTTTGGGTCCGATTCTATCTTTCGGTCAAAAAGATCCCAACGTTTGCCACAGAAAAGCATCGATTGATTGACGGATCAAATGTCAGTCTCAATGACATCAAAGTGGATGACATTTACTTTGAGGCCATTAATAGGCAAAGACTCGAGTTTGAGATTTCGCACAAAGTGTTGACCGAATTGGGTGTCCGTCACAAACTCGAAGAAGTGATACATTGGGTGTCATTCCTCTACACCTGCTATCCATTGATTCCCATGCGATCCGTTGGATCCGTTGAATCAATTACTAATTCAATAGGTATTGGACTATACCTTCAGCACCGGTTCATTAGACACAGCTGTCAACCCAACAGTGCTCTCATTTTTAAAGGTATTGCTGTATTTCACGTGTATATCGATTATTAGTTTACCAAAGTATTAACTCAATACTTCTGACCATTCAATAGATCTATCGCTACAATTGCGGGCAATGAGACCGATAGCCGCCGGCGAAGAGATCACTATTACTCGCGCAGCCTTACAGTGGAACCGAACGGATAGACAAAATGACCTCAAAGAGTGGTCAATAGTCTGCGAGTGCGACAAATGTGTCCACCATTTGGACCGTGACGTCGATTATCAACGCTTCCAAACCTACGATCTCTTTCCCGTTCATGTGTTCACATTTGGTACACAATTCATAGATCACGTGAACAAACTGTTGACTGATTTGGACATAATGTACGGCGAGTTTCATCCAATGAAGACAATGTATTTGAATCTAATTGTCCTAAATGTACACAACTGTCCGCTATTAACAAAATCGCTGTTAAATGAATTGACGGTCAAATTGATGAAAGCCATTGACATTACATGTCTGGCCGACGGCCCGCTTAAGGATTATTTAATGGATACCTTTCATGTCTTGCAATTGTCGGCAAATGTTAGGCGTTTGAGAAATGAATAACTTATTTAATGCAGTGTTTGATATGATTTTACTATTCATTTCTCTGATTTAATTATTTATTTTTAAAATACAATTTATTGAATTTTTGTTTTTAATACTTATTTGACTTTAAAACTGATTTATTAATTATTGGATAAATAATGTAAAATTTATGCTTTTAATTAGCCATTCATTTCATTTCAGTATAGCTTTCATTCACTTGTTTATTATAAATCCAATGCAAAACATTTGATTAATTACTTGTATTTTTATCCAAACTTATGGGTTATTATGTTTTTATTCATAAAATATAAAAACTAATTCCTAATAATTTATTAATTTCTCATATGATATATGAAACTCTCCTATTTATGGCTTAAATTCTGTATTACTTATGTGTTTAATAATAATCAGACATTAAATGATATAATTTATTAATTATTTAGTTAAATATTGATTACATTTAATTATTCGTTTTATTCCATTCTATAATACATTTACTGTTATTTCAATTCAATTGTTATTTTTATTGCAAAAACTAATGACTATTTAATTGTATTTTAAATCAATTTTTGTTTTTAATGTGAGAAATGATTAGTGAATTCAAGTCGTGATAATTTTTTAATTACATTTTCGAACATTAATTTACTATAAAGTTATAAATCACTTATTAATTGTTCATTACATGTAAAAATATTAATTTATAATTTCATTAAATTTTATGTTTGTGGCGATAATGAGAGTGAAAATATTGCCGGGAATTCCCGATTCATTTAATGTATTTAAATAACTTCGGGATTAATATTACCACCAGTTTTGTGTATAAAATTTGTTGAAATAGTAGTAAACAAGAAATTCAAGTCGTGATAATTTTTTAATTACATTTTCGAACATTAATTTACTATAAAGTTATAAATCACTTATTAATTGTTCATTACATGTAAAAATATTAATTTATAATTTCATTAAATTTTATGTTTAAATTCAAAATAATTAAAATATTTTCCCGTAATTTATGGCTTATATTGCATTAAAAGGCGGTAATTGTGGCGATAATGAGAGTGAAAATATTGCCGGGAATTCCCGATTCATTTAATGTATTTAAATAACTTCGGGATTAATATTACCACCAGTTTTGTGTATAAAATTTGTTGAAATAGTAGTAAACAAGTTATTATTTTTATTAATTTATCGGTTTTATGTAATTTGAAACAAATTTAACAAAATATTCCTGAATTTGTGGCAAATATTCCCTTAAAAATCACAGGAATAGTCATAATAAGCGGCAAAAGTGACAACACGTGACCCACACTTGACTTTGTGCTGACCTTCACTCCAGTCGTGAGCTTTACGTCAGATATTAATCCACACTTCAGTCCAGCAATTAATCCACACTTTAGTCCATCAATTGATCTGTACTTTAGTCACAACTCATTACTTCATCGCAAGACATCACACAATCGGTTCCAATCAGTGGTAAGTCTATAAAACTTCATTTTAATTACATATTAATGAGTTGTTATGAAATCTGGTCAACACTTAATTCACAACTCATTCATACCATAAGTCCATCGCTTCCAACACTAGATATCATCACTCAATCGGATTAAATCAGTGGTAAGTTTTATAACACTTATTATAAACACGTTTTTGAAGTAATTTTACGAAATCTATGGTCAGAAATGCCGACAAAACTGTCGAAACCGTTATCACCGGGAGATGTGGTCATCAAAGAAATGCCACTCATTTATCTCCTAAACATGTCATCCAAAGGCAAATATTGTGACAATTGTTTTAAACGCTCGGATCAGTTGAAGAGATGCGCGAAATGTCTTCAAATGTATTATTGCGGTAAAGAGTGTCAGAAGAAGGACTGGAAGTATCACAAGAATGAGTGTTCACTCTTTCAGTACGAAATACCAGAACTGCTTCTCTCCGATGATTGGCTCAGACTTTGGTTCCGATTCTACCTTTCGGTCAAAAAGATCCCAACGTTTGCCACAGAAAAGCATCGATTGATTGACGGATCGGAAGTCAGTCTCAATGATATTAAAGTGGATGACATTCACGTCGAGGCCATTAACGGGCGAAGACATGAGTTCGAGTCATCGCACGAAGTGTTGGCCGAATTGGGTGTTCGTCACGAACCGGAAGAAGTGATACATTGGGTGTCATTCCTCTACAGTTGCGATCCATTGTTTCCGATATTATCCGTTGGAAGTGGTGGCGAACCAATAGGTGTTGGACTATACCTTCAGCACCGGTTCATTGGACACAGTTGTCAACCCAACTGCGCCTATAATGGCAACGACGAAGGTTGTGCTGTATATCATGTGTATTAATATACCAATCGTTGTTTTAACATAATTTTATTTAACACTTCTAACCATTGAATAGATCTATCGATGCAATTGCGGGCAATGAGACCGATAGCCGCCGGCGAAGACATTACTCTCAATTGCGTGCCGTTAACGTTGAACCGAACGGACAGACAAAATGCGCTCAAAGTGTGGTCAATAGTCTGCGAGTGCGACAAATGTGTCCACCATTTGGATCGTGACATCGATTATGAGCGCTTCAATCCCTTACAAATCGGTAATCTTTTTCCCGATCGTGTCCTCACATCCCGTTCCCAACTCATGGCTCACGTGTGGAAATTGTTGACCGATTTGGACATAATGTTCGGTGACTTTCATCCAATCAAAACCGTGTTTTTGAATGTAATTGTTCTCAATGTATACAATTGTCCGCATTTGACGGCAGCGCTATTGAATGAATTGGAGGTCAGACTAATCAAAGCGATTGCGATCACAATTCCGATCGACGCTACGAATAGGGGTTTTTTCGATCATACCTTTCATATCTTGCAATTCTCGCCAAATGTTTTGCGTTTGAAAAATGTACTCAATTGTCGTCACAATCAGTAAATAAGTTTGATATGAATTTACTATTCATTTCTCGTTTCAAACGTAATTCCCTTTTATTCCTTAATTATTGTATTTAATAGTTATTCCGCTTTTAAAACTAATTAATATTTTGTGTGTTTTAGCTTTTAATCAAACATTCGTTTCTGTTTTTTAGTATAACTTTTATTCACTTGTTCTAAATCTCAATACAAACCATACGATTAATTGTATTTTTACTCATAAATATTCAATTGATTTTCTTATAATTTATTAAATTCCCAAATGATTTGTAAAACTTTTGGTTTAAATTCTGTGGTATTTATGTATTAATTAATTGTTTGACTTTTTAAATGATATAATTTATTAATTATCGGTCAATTATTTTTGAATACTTTGCAATAATATTTTGATAGAACTTTAAAATCACTTTTAATTAATAATTTCAGTGTGTTTTAGTAAAACTTTTATTCACATTATTTGGTTTAATCACACAAAACATAATTCAAAACTTATGATTATTTATTTGTATTTGTAATCAATTTTTATTATTTTTAATGTGAAAAATGATGAGAAAATTCAAGACGTGTTTCTCTTAAACACATTTTCAAACATTGATTAAAAATTTTCTTATTTATTATGTCATAACATAAATACAGTACTGTATTAACCAATTATTTATTGTCTGATTTATTATAATTTTTTTTAACAAATTATTATTTTGATTGTAATTTTGTTCAATGTATTATGTATTCAATATTAATAAAAATATAAAGATTTAAAACAAATATTAGTTTATTTTTTACATTAAATGAAAATTATAAATATTTTAGCCATAATTTTGAATTATAATGCATTCAAAGGCGGCAATTGTGGTCACAATAAGAGAGATTTTTCCGGGAATTCCCGATTCATTTAATATGTTTAAATAACTTCGTGGTTAATGTTGCCATTAATTTTGTTTAATTTTGTATAAATTCTAGTATTAACTCTAATAAGTTATTTACAAAAGTAATATAAACTTAAAACTTTTATTTGATTTTTGTTTCTAAACACAAAATTGGAAATATTCCCAAATGTGTGGTAAATATTGCCTTAAAATCACAGCAATAGTCATAATAATCGTTAAATATGACAACACGTGACCCACACTTGACTTTGTGCTGACCTTCACTTGTAGTGAGAGTTTCAGGCATTAAACCAAACATCAGTTCATCGATTGATTTGCAATTTAGTCACTCATTCAGCCATCGTTTCCCACACAAGACATTGTCTCACAATTGGATCCAATCATACAATCAGTGGTAAGTATTTGTGAAATTCAATACAAATTCATTCAGTATTTTAAAAGTTGTCATCAAATCTATGGCCAGAAATGTCACCAAAACTGTCGAAACCGTTATCACCGGGAGATGTGATCACTCAAGACATACCACTCATTCATATCCTGTTAATAAAATCCAAAGGCAAGTATTGCGACAATTGTTTCAAACAATCGGATCAATTGAAGAGATGCTCGAAATGTCTTCACATGTATTATTGCGGTAAAGAGTGTCAGAAGAATGACTGGAAGTATCACAAGAATGAGTGTCCACTCTATGGACACGAAATGCCAATATTGCTTCGCACTAATGAAGGGCTCAGACTTTGGTTCCGATTCTATCTTTCGGTGCAAAACATCCCAACGTTTGCCACAGAAAAGCACCGATTGTTTGACGGATCGGAAGTCAGTCTCAATGATTTCAAAGACAAAACCATTGTTTTAAATGTAGATAATTCTGAATTTAAACGCATTGCCAAAGTTTTCATGAAATATGGGATCAAATACGGACGCGAAGACCTGGAAGAATGGGTCGCTTTAATGAATGGGCGCTGGTATCTCATCCAATACGGACGACCCGGTTATGTGGATTCTGTGGCCACCGGTCTATACCTCCAGACCTCAACATTGAAACACAACTGTCGGCCCAACAGTTGTTGTATTTCCAGTTTCAATGGTTTGTTTAACAATAATTGTAATTTTCAATCACTTATTACACAATTTATTGATTGATAACCCGATTACAGGACATGTGATTGAGTTGCGGGCCATGAGATCGATAGCTCCGGGAGAGGAGATTACCATAAGTCGTATGGATTTGATGTTAAATAAAACGGATCGACAGAAAGCGTTGAAATCAATATCCATAGACTGCGAGTGCGAGAAATGTGTGGCCAATACGGATCGAAACTTGGATTACCTGCGCCTACAGCCGGGCTATATTCAGGTCATGTGTCGGTTCGGGCGCCGTCTTTGAAGTTAATTTGCGGTCACTTTTGGCCGATTTGGATGTGGTTTACGGCGATTACCACCCCTTGAGAACATTGTCTCTCTTAATGTGCTTCAAACAACTACAGGCCAGTCGATCACCACTGGATCCCCTGTACCGCGAAGTGATGCAAATGACGTCCGACGCGTTGCGTGTGACCAGTGGTCAGGGCTGTCCATTTCAGGATTATTTCATGCAAAATGTGTTTTAATGATAAAAACAAATCAATCAAAACCTGTCACACAATGAGCTAAATATAAATCAAACATTTAATTGTATTTTTAAACTAAATCAAAACTCAATTATATAACAAAAATTGTTTATCAAAACTATTGGTAATTAATTAAAACGATTACAACTCATAAAAATTGAAAATATTATCATAACTAATATATTTTAATTTAACACTTATTTTGAGTGATTTTCATGTGATTTGTCTGATTTTTGTAATTCATGTCTTATTCATTGAATATTGATTGTAACTAATTATATGTTTTATTACAACTAATTTAATAAATGATTTTAATTGCAATTTTATGTCAAATAAACAATTCAATAAATATATTAATTTTTATTTTAATGCTTGAAAATGTGCGCCAATTGTGTTAAGCCATAGGTTTTGGTCAAATGATGATTGCTTTGAGTCAACACTTGGTCTCACTTTTCACACATTATTCCACAGATGAGTCCATAAACTGAGAGACACTACGGGTTTATAATGTGATTGAATCTAGTATTCAACGGTCACAACCCCACTGTTATTTCCTACTCACCCCATACTTACCTGTACTTCACAATACCAAAATCTAAATGTTACTCAAAAGTAACTCAAACCCCATTATAATTATTATATTTAAATTTAACCAAAAAAAAAAGATGAATTAAAATCTATAAATCAAATGCAAACTATAAATGGTATTTGAATAGTGTTTTTAATTGAAATCATTTGGTCTCTAATGCTTAGTAAAGAGTGCAGTCATAGCGGGCCTATCGAGTAGAACTGGTGTTGCGGCTCTTGGGTTTGGTTGATCGGCCATCTGTGGCGTACGGATGGAGTCGATCGGATCCGCTCAGTCCGTGACGGCCCGTCGGAGCGGACCCGTGTCCGGAACGCCGCGATCGGTTGCCTCCACCCACTGGCGGCTGCGGCTGTTGCTGTTGAGGGGCTGGTTGTGGTGCGACAGCCGGCGGTTGTCGCTTGTACTACTTGGAGTGCCACCAACCAATCGGCTGAAAGCCTTGCTTTTTCTGCCACACGTAGCCATCCATACCGATGTAGGCGTTAAGGCCATCGCACTTCAGCTCCGGGTCGGTGCCATACCCTTGCCTTTCAAACTGATAAATGTGTTGCAGTGTGGGCACATCCGACTCCTCATACGTGTGCCATCCATCTCTCACATCTGTCTCACTCCTTACGGCTCCGTTCCCGTCGTACAGATACTTCACGTGATTACCGCCCGTATGGGGGCCGTATACTTGTTGTAGTGGAGTTTGGGCACTGCCGGGTCGTATTGAATCAATGGGAAGGCCGGTGGCATTGGGGGTCGGGTCAGCGGGTCGTTCAACTCTCCGAACCACAGCCACACCCGATGCGAGTTGTATGCGATGGGCGGATGCGGAACCGTTTGCAGAATGGCCTCCTGACGGGCTGCGAAGCAATTGTCGTACCGATGAATGTCGACCCAAATGTCGCGCGGAATCGTTTGGTCGCCGATCTCTATCGCATTGGTTAGTATGCGAAGCGCCATCTGTGGGTCCGGTGCCGCCCACCCGTACGCGATGTGCGGATCGTTGTCCATCTGAACCGTAGCCCTGTGTAGCTCTTGATACCGATGTCGGGCACATATCTCCTGCACGCCGTCGTCCCATTCGGTGATGGCCTCAATGTGTCCGCACTCAGGCATTACCAGAAAGCACTGGCGTCTGCCGTCCGCAGGCGTGGCTGTGATACGTTTGATCGACAATTCCCAGACACTCGAACCGTGGTCCGAGTCGTGTGCGCCCAGAAAGTACACCGGATTGTGTTCGTGTGTGGCCCTCACATGTTCAGCCATCAAAGGGGGACAAACCAGAGGGTGTGTCCCGTTGTCCGCAACGATGTCAGCCAAATAGATGTCTCGGCCGAGTATAGGCACCCGGAGTCGCAATTGGAAGTCGCACTCCACCATCACTACACCGCCCGCCTGTATGAGTGTCCGGTTGTGTTGATTGATACGATCAAAATCGGGTCCGTACTCGTCATACACGACCAGTTTGGCTCCGGCGCACACATAGATGGCAAACCGGCGCTGATTGGGAGCCACATTTAGAAAGCCCATGAGTCTGTCTTCATCTAGATCAAACACACCTCCCTGGGCCACGTGCACACCCGTGTAGTCGTGGAACCGACTGAAGAAACGGCTGCCCAACGCATAAAATTCGTTTCTATGGGCGTAATTGGCGTAATACAGGCCCACAGCTAGACTGTAGGATGTGATACAGGGCTGTTGTTGTGCTCCATTGAGGACCACTTCTAGGTTACAATTGGCCTGAAGTGGTGCCTGAGGGTCGACCAGTTGGCCGGCCGGCAGCCAATCGCGTTCGCAGAGAACGCACGGATAGAGTTGAGCCAATGGATGTGGATCTCTAATATTTTCGGCGCCCGCTTCGTTGAACGCTACGGACACAACTGCCACAACACCGCTGCGTTGGGCGTACAAGTGGTTGCCGTACTGGCGTCGAGCCCTATGTTGCCAGTACTGTCGGGCCGTCGCTAGAGTGTTGTGCTGGGCGTAGGGCATCGCTCCCAAGTAGAACAGGTCAGTGATCTGACAGCGCACCGGCAGGAAGTTCGGGTCCTCGAAGTACGACCGGTCATACGGTATGCGCTGTAAATGATTGTGTCCATCGTCTTCGCCGATCTTCAGTCGATTACCGTCCGCATCAAACACCCGGCGCACCGCTTGAATACGCCATCGTTGTAAACCCGGCTCTTCCAACTGTGCCATACAGTATTGTCTTTGTTTGTCGTGTCTTTGTTGTCGATCTGATCCCAATGTCTTTGTGTCTTACGATCAGTTGATTGTCTTGTATTTGTGCTGTGAATGCGAAACCAGTTTTTGAGTTTTGTTTGTTTTTTTGTGTTAAAAACGTTTTAATTTTTGAGATGTATTGTTTAAATTTTTAATTTTATTTTATTTAACCGAAATTGTTTACCTCTAATTAATGCAAAAAATGTTTACCAATTTATTATATTATTGGTAGATTAGTTTTAGTGTTTAAAATACTTATGTTTAAAAATTGAATTTGTATAATAGAGTTAAAATTGAATTTGAAAATATTTATATAATGTAAACTAACATAACGTTGTGTTTATTAAATTAGCCTCAAAACCACAAATGCATTGTTAGGAAATAAAGTTTGAAAACAATTTTAATTATATCAAATAATTGATCAAAACATTTCTAACAAAACATCCAATGGAACAGCATTTTAATTAAATATATTTAACAATACTCTTGTTTTAACATAGATGTGTACATTTTAGACACAAATCATGTGATCATTGACTCCCATAGCCTACCCCAGAGATAATCTCTATTGAATGCCAAACACTAATCCATTCAATGCTTAATCAGAAAATCACGTGATATTTACTCGATTGGTTTTTGATGAAAAAATCTGTCATTCAATAGTCAGTTGGAGTTTAGTTGAGCTCAAAAGCTGTTCCCAAAAATAACACTCAATTTGTTTTATTACTTATATTTCACGTCTAATTTGATTTTGATATTGAATTTGACTGCAATTCACGACTCGATTATTACTGGTTTTGTCTTTTTATTGATTTTAATTTTGTTCACATAAACGGATCCATTCATTGAATCAGTCGTAAGTCTAATGAAAACTCATTAAAACACGTGTTTTTCATTTGTTTTGTAATTTATAATCAGAAATGTCACCAAAACTGTCGAAACCGTTATCACCGGGAGATGTGATCACTCAAGACATGCCTATCATTCATGTAATACACGATGAATCCAAAGACAAGTATTGCGATAATTGTATGAAAAGATCGGATCAATTGAAGAGATGCGCGAAATGTCTTCACATGTATTACTGCAGTAAAGAGTGTCAGAAGAATGACTGGAAGTATCACAAGAATGAGTGCAAACTCTATAGAGATGATGACATTTGGTCATCACTACAGACGGTAGATATTAGGTACAGATTTTTGCTCCGACTCGTCCTTACGGTGCAAAACATCCCAACATTTGCCACAGAAAAACACCGATTGTTTGACGGATCGGATGTCAGTCTCAATGATCTCAAAGTCGATATAATTGGTAGGAATGAAGACAAGAGTGAAAGTGATATCTCAGCCATTTGTGATATGTTCACTGAATTAGGTGTCAATTATGAAGTCCAAGAGCTAAGCGATTGGTTTATATTCATGAAAAATTGATTCCTTTTTGATACACGTAGTGATTGTGGCGATACTGTGGCCAACGGTCTATACATCCAGTTATCATCGCTAAGCCATAGTTGTCTTCCGAACGCCGCTATTGTATACAATGGTCTGTATTGTAATCGCGATTATTATAAGTATGTATTGATTGTTTCAATTGATAACCCGATGGACAGGCCATACGTCTGAGTTGCGGGCCATGGCATCGATAGCTCCGGGAGAGGAGATTACCGTAAGTCGTGTTGATTTGCAAATGGGTCGGGAGGGCAGACGGATGTGGTTGAAAACTATGTCCATTGACTGCCAGTGCGTGAAATGCGTGAACAATACGGACCGAGACGTGGATTACCGACGACTGCAGCCAACGATTAATCGGTCGGTCGTAAGCATACTCTCAATGGCCGACAAGAAAGAAGAGTATTTGCGCTCATTATTTGCCGATTTGGATGTGGTTTACGGCGATTACAATCCCTGCAAGACATTGACTTTAGTCAATCACTTCGACGCCTATACTTTTGCGCTTATAAATGGCCGCAAATCACCCGATGGTCTGTTCAATGAGATCCGGGATATGACCGCAAAGGCGTTCGATGTGACCAATGGTGACGATTGTCCGTTTAAGCAAACATTTCATGATAATTTGAAAACCTTGGCCACAGGACCTCATTTTAAATTGTCATTGTAACTCTCTCTCTCTCTCTCTCTCTCTCTCTCTCTCTCTCTCTCTCTCTCGTACTTAAAATNCTCTCTCTCTCTCTCTCTCTCTCTCTCTCTCTCTCTCGTAATTAAAATATAATTAAGTATTAACTAATTTTTATATTTAAAAATTATGAATAAATTTTGTCTGATGATTGTGTTTGAATTATTTAAATGTGATAATTTAAAATAATTACCTTTAATAAATCGAATATAATACAGCATAAAATGGTTTACAAGTGATAAATATTTTTTAATTTTATTTATTTCGTATTTATCAATATATTTTGTGATGAATTTAGAAATTACAACAATAATTAAAGCTGAGATTAAAAGCCAGAAAACGCCCCTCAAGTCAGTGATGGTTACGGAAGGGATAACTAGTGTTGGCTTCGGTTGGTCTGTGATGTCGGCCTCATATCCATTGGGTTTCAGCGATCGCTTCACTTCATAGTCATAGACACCGCTCTCTTGAAGACCACATAATCTGTGAAAACAATTAACACAACTATTATTCAGTATTTAAATATAATGTTTTCAATTATACAAACATTTTGTCAAATTTGTTGGTAAAGTTCCAACATATGGATGTTTCAATAAGTGCCATATATTGTTAAAAAAGATACAAAATGTATTTAAAAAATAAGATTCTTTTCCAAAAGAGTCTAACATTAATGAATAACTTATATACAATATGTAAAACAATAATTTTCAAACTGTGTTCACAATACAAATATCTAAAATTTTGGCAAAAAAACAACAAATACAAAGAGAATGAGGATCCAAATGTTACCCAACCCGAACTCAATCACAATAACTATTAGCAAACAAAGAATTAAATTGAATTTAAAAATAAACTAATTATAATCTATAAATCAAATGCAGTCTATAAATGGTGTTTGAATTGTGTTTTTAATTGAAAACAATTTGTGTGAAATATGCTGTAAAGAGTTCTGTCATACCAGACCTACTGATCGGATCGGTGTTTGAGGCGTTTGTTTTTGTGTCGGGAATGGTTTGAACCACTACTCGACGAAGAGGAGCGACTCGAGCTCGAGCTATGAGACCGGCGGCCGCTTGACTGGCCGGCGTCAGGCGAGGGCGGCTCCTGCTGTTGCGGTGGAGGCACCGCTGGCGGTACTGCAGCCTGTGGTGGTTGGCGCACATAGTAGATGGACGCCCACCAGCCAACGGGTGGAGATTGCTTTTTGGCCCACACGTAGCCATCCATACCGATGTAGGCGTTGACGCCATCGCACTTCACCTCCGGATTGGTGTCATACGCTTGCCTTTCAAACTGATACACGGGATGCAGATTAATGCCCGGTGCCATCTCATACGTCTTCCCGACGCCATCCGTGAGTTGTGTGGCCGATTTGACCCGTCCCATTTCGTCGCAAATCCACTGCACGTGTTTACCGCCCCTATAGGGGGCCGTATACTTGTTGTAGTAGATGTTGGCCGTCGCCGCCGCGTCGTATTTGATCATTGGGAAGGCCGGTGGCATTGGGGGTCGAGCCATAGGATCGTTGCCCCACCACGTGGTCACCCGATGCGAGTTGTATGCGATGGGCGGGCGTCGCATGTTTGGGTTGACTTGGAATCCGTTGTCGTACCGATGGATGTCGACCTCTATTTGGCGCGGAAACACTAGTTCGCCAATGCGTTGCATACCGCAGATAATACGGAGCGCCATGTCCTGTGCCGGCGGCGCAAACGTGTGCTCAATGTGCTCATTGGTGTCCATCTGAACGGTGGCCGTGTGAAGCATTTCGTAGTGATTTCGGGCCCATATCTCTTGTATACCGTTCTGCCAATCGGTGATCGCCTCGAAGCGGCCGCACTCAGGCATTTGTAAATAACACCGGCGCCGGCCATCGCCCAGATGGTTGGGATGACGTTTGATGGACAACTTCCAGGCACTACTGCCGTAGTCGGAGTCGTGTGCGCCCAGAAAGTACACCGGATTTTGGTCGTGTGCGGCCCTCACAAGCGGTGCCACCGATGCGTTACAGACCAGTGGGTATCTCGGGTTGCCGTCAGTAATTTCGGACAAATCTACGCCCATATCTATTATGGGCACAAGGAGTCGCAGGGGCTCATCGCACTCGACCACCACTACACCGCCCGCCTGTATGAGTGTCCGGTTGTGTTGGAGTCCGGAGTCGTGAGTCTCGCCGTACTCGTCATACACGACCAGTTTGGCTCCGGCGCACACATAGATGGCAAACCGGAGCTGATTTCTTTCCGTAATCACGTTTAACGCCTCACCGAAGCTGACATCGAGCAGATCATACACTCCACCTCTGGACGTGGGCCGACCCGCGTAGCGCTGGTGACGGGTGAAGTGCCGACTGCCGTTCTCATAGTTTTGCTCACCGGCGCCAAACTTGACGTACGCCATACCCAGCGTAAGCCAGTAGAGCGTCTCGCAGTGCTGCAGTTGCTGTGCGTCCGGATTGAAACCCGTCTCCACGTAATAGTTGGCACGAGCCGTGTAATGGGGGGCTAGGGTTGGCTGACCGTTCACTAGCCAATAGCGATCGCACTGTACGCAGGGGTAGAGCTGATGCAATGGCATTAGAGCTGAAATGTTGGCGTCGCCCTCAGCAGTCTCTGCCATAATTTCCACCTCCATTACAGTGCCATAACGGGAGGCGAACACATGGCAGCCGTGTTGGCGTCGGGCCCTGTGTTCCCAATGATGTCTAATAGAGTTGTGATTCCTGTGCACAGCGTTGTCGGAGCCGGGCATCATTCCCAAGTAGAACAGGTCACTGATCTGACAGCGCACCCGACGCCCAATATATTGGTCCATGAAATAGGGCCGCTCTCCCCGTATGCGCTCGAGTTGAGTGTTGGCAGCGTTAGGTTCGCCGATCTGAAGCTGATTGTTGCCCGCGTCAAACTCCCGCCGCACCGCTTGTATGCGCCACCGTTGCGGCCACTGCTCATCGATGAAGTATAGCGGAGGGTTGGCAACTGGTGCGGCCGCAACTGCTGCGACCGGAACTGCTGCGGCCATGTCGTGTGTTTTGTGTGCGGTGTTTGTATTGTGAATCTGATCCCAATGTCTTTGGTCTGACAATCGGTTGATTGTTTTGTGTTGTGCTGTTAATGCGAAACAGTTTTTGACTTTTTGTTTGCTTTTAGTGTTGAAAATGTTTTTATTGTTGAAACGATGTTTTGTTGAGAATTATTTTTGATATTTGATTTAATATCTTGCTAACTTAATTTTGTACAACAATACGTTATGGTATTTTTAGATAAATTACTGTAAATAATTATTATTACATATAAATAATATAATAGCCATTTAAACTGAATGTAAATGATTTATCAAATAAATAAGATTTAAATGTTTGAACAATAGTTAGTTGAATATTTATGTTTTTTAAAATGTTTTAAATTAATGCTTACATGAGGTCTAATAATTTCAACAATTCCTATCAATAGTGAGGCAATAAAACCGGCAAATAATAGCCAAAAAACACCCCTCAAGTCAGACATTGTTATGGATTTGATTTGTTTGACAGACTTTTCGAGTTCATTGATATCGCGTCCAAAACCCTTAAATCTCAATGAATTTTTCACTTCGTATTCATAGATACCATTGGATTGAAAGCCAGAGAGACTATAATAGCATAAAATTAATTTACACATTATTTATATGATATAACATTTATATCAAACAATTTTATTTATAGTAATAATTTGTGCAAACATTTTATTGAACTCATCCATAAATCTCTGGCCTAACGTATCTTTATTAATGGCAAAAAAATAAACCATTGATTTATCTCTGGTATCGGAAACGTGAATATTAAGTCCATCCAAACCATAGGCCGTGTATTTATCGTAATAATGTTGGTAAAACTCATGGCCCATATAATTATCAAAATTTTCGTTTATTTTGTTAATCATGTAATAACCAATTAGTTTGGGAATCGCCAGCACAGCGTTGTCCTCCACAATTGATAATCCTATCTATTTATTAATTAATCATTGGTCTTATTGTTATTTTATAGTGGTAATAAATTTACATCTAAATAAAATTATTTAAAAATCAATGTGGTTTATTGTAATATAATCTATAATATACTTTAATTAAACTAGTTTTACCTCCAATTGAAATGCTACATTAAAAAACGTTTCAATTAGATCGTGAACAGTCATTCGGGGATTAAAGCTCTTTGTAATCTCATTAGTGTATGTCATATAATAATGGTTGAGATCGTAATCATAGCCCCATATCTTAGAGTCCTTATAATTGGGATCGTTTGCCAATTGATAAAAATTTTCCAACCGGTCGTACGTTTGACCCCTCATAAGAGTGTCGTACAAATCGCCCGAATATAACATTAATAATATTGTGGACACAAACAGCCAAATGCCGGCTAATAAGCGGTCAATGAAATTGGGTTTAGTTTTAATTGCAAAATAATCGGAGAGAATGACCGCAGAATACGACCAAATAGTGTCCAGAAATTGTTTTACCGATTGCTGTCTCAGACCAACGATCGATGAAATTAACATCAAAGACAATACGATGTAAACGTATATCTTATAGTCCCAGCACTCGATGAATGTGAATGGAGAGCGTGGAACTTAATAATGGTAATTATATTTAATGCGATTAGTACATTTTTAATTGATATAACTAATAATAGACAAGATTAGACAACTTGCTCTAGTAAATGACTGTAGGCATATTAATAATTAGTAACTAATTGTACAATTTTGTTTGATAAATGCTTGATAAATAATATTTTTAATTAATAGGTAGGCTGACCATAAAATTTTAGCCTAAGGGAGGACAAAATGAAAAAATCCCCAAATCTGGGGAGGACATGGGGAGGACGCTATGTTTTAGTGTATTAAATCATAGATATACTATTACCATTGCTATATTATAGCAATTAATAGAAAAATGAATGTTATTTAGTCATTATTATTGCAAGTAATTACTAAAAGAGCATTTTGTAAAAATGGGTATTTAATACAAATTACGGTAGAAATAATATATATTAAGCTTTATTCTGTTAATTTTCCTGAATGACTTAAATGAAAACAACTCAATTAGAAGTTAATTTACATTTTTAGCTAGAAAATATATTCAAAATACAAAATATTTACTATTAAAGTTATTAAAACATCAAGGGAGGACATTGTATAGTCCTCCCCAGGGGCTCGGGAGGACGGTACCAGAAATGGTCCAGGGGAGGACT